TACCTTGTTATTCATATAAATATGAAATATGTCTTAAATGTTGCATATCTTGGTACTTTCGGGGTAGGGGTATATTTCATATTATATTCTCAGTTAACCCCCCCCCCCCCAATGCAATAAACAGTTTAAAATTGACATATATATATAAATTATTGCTGTTACACATGTTATACATACATATAGGGGTCATGCACAATTACTATTCACTGTGGCCATGAATACAGCTATGTTGCAAGCAATGTTACCTCCAAATCTGAAAACAATCTACTGGCTTTCTGAAGCAACATTGCTTGCAACACAGCTGTATTGTCAACCAATTAGCTGACGGTAACGCTGGTTTGGTGTCTGAAAAAAGTTCACAGCCACGTTAAAATGGAATGTTTTTTTATGTTTTTATACAAGGCACATAAACATTATGGCTACTTTCGCTTTCCTTTTTAGATCAAAATATTTAATAAAAACCAGTAAGCATCTTAAAACACTAGGTTCAAACTCTAAATTATGATAAATAAAATTAAAATTAATAAATATAGAAATTACGCTCTTTGCATGAGTATGGATGGCCATGGATGTACTATAGAGGGTTATTGATCATTCACTTTTCAGTTGAAATAGCAATGTTGGGAACAAACACAGTAAATATGATTTCCATTACAATACAGTGATCAGTACCGGGTAGTATGATTACATTGCATGCAGGGAAACACAAGATGATGTATCATACTTACAAGCACGTTTCTGATAAAAAGCACACAAAATAAACATTGCATTTTTTGTATGCTGAATACAAAATTATGATTTTATGATCAGAAACATATCTGTAATTGAAAGATGCAGTATGGAGGAAGATTTATAAATTTTTCATATTATTGTCTGATACTCCTTACAGCAGACCAAATCAAATTATGATGCATCATGGGTAAAAATGTTGCGATTGCAGGGCACACAACCATATTTGTTGGATGAAAAAAAATCAAAAACACTAATACACATATGCATTGATTGTTATTGTAGATACCAAAACAACTGATGCACATGCTTATTAGAGAATTTTATTATTTCATCGAATGAAAATTTGGATGTGTGCTACAAGAACTGTTTTTTAATGTATTCTTTAAAATAAAGTACCAAAGTACAATATTACGAAATTACTTGTTCTCATCTATATTACATTTTTAACCTTTTCAACACCAGACTTTCTCACCCAAATTTTTCTGCATTTTTTTTCTTATTTTCTCTAATATCTCTAGAAATGAGCCCTAATTTTACAGCCAACTAACAAAATTTGAGTTAATTTTCTGTCTTTACTCAAAAAATTTGACTCTTTTTGTCTCAATCTTCTGAAAGAAAGTGCAGACTATAAATGAAACTATTTTGTGATGAAAAGAGGGAACTAGTGGTGAAAAGGTTAATATGTGTATGCACCACTGAGAGAGCAAATACAGTGTCTTGATCCAAATTTACAGTTACTACTACATTGTCAATTATTTCAGCTGTTTTCACTGATGAGGGAAATTACTGAAAATACACTTTCCTCAGGATTTGCATGTAAATTAATGAAAAATCAGTTAAAATTAGTTTCATGTGCTGCTGACCTAAATACTGTATTTGCTCCATTAGAAGTGCATCTCCACCAGAAGCTCATGTAAAGGAACAGTTGTATGTAATGTATTAGTATACTGGATCATTTGAAAATGACTTATTTTGACTCAACACACACCTCTGTCATTTAGTATGTGCATACACAGTGAGCAAATATGACAACATGGTTTTCAGCGAAAATAAATTCCACCTAAAATAAAGTACCAGTAATTCACAGAATTCTACTTCTTCACTTCTTTTTAGCACGGTTTCTTGCTGATATTGGCCGATCACCGTTAGCTTTCGTGTCCTCTGATATCTTAGACAGAGAAGCAATAACTGGAGCGATGATATCCTATATGTAGAAACAAGAGCATTATTATTTGCATATAATATTCAGCAGCAAATATGATTAATATTTGTTTTGTTACTTTTTCATAATTTTCACTCCAAGGAATACTGAGCCAAAAAGGAGTTACCACAGGCTAATACATCATGTTGCTTATAGTTATGCTAATTACATGCAAATAGTGTTTCAAACAAAAATTAAATCTCCAGCTTGCTGTTCACATGTTATAGCCTACACATCCTACAATATTACTTGATGTATAATCATTTGTTATCAATAAACATTTGTGATCAGTATTAAATTGATTTAAAAATACAAAAGTAACATTAGTTATATTTAAATTTTCAATTATTTTCTTACTCCACTGAAAAAGACAATGGAATACAATAGACAAATAGTTTATAGTTTATACAATAGTATCCCATGATTCCATGGTGTAATCCCAGGGATTGAAGAGCATCAGTTTAAGCAGTCAACATCTAACTAAAGGGTAGTCCACGGTCCTAAGACAAATCTAATAAGACAAACTCTAAGCATTAGAACAGCAAAATCTGAAGTCATATATGTGATTTACCCCAAATTTGTTTGTCAACTCTCTTGATATTAATCTGACAGCACTATAGAAGGATGTAAAACTGCACTTACGTCATTGCTGGCATATTTCACTTGTACTTCCTTCAAAATATCGGATATTCCAAAAGATTTCAAATCATTGATTACGTCATCTGAAAAAAATTAAGGATTACAATCTCAGAGAAATAAAAATAAGGCATGTATATAAATCGTTTTAATTTAACAAAAGACAAATTCTCGCGAATGTTGCAAGTCACAGAAAATAACAAATTTTAGTAGCAGTAAGAACAGTGTGTCTAAGCGATTTTCGTGAAAATTTGTCTTCTCGAATGCAGTAAAATCCTGAAATTGCAAATTAAACAGGATATGCTATTCATGCATTTTTTATATCGAAATTATAATTTGAATAAAAAAATGCATGCGTGAAATACCACATTTTCAAAAAACAAAATGGCTGCCAGTCAGCCATCTTTGATCCAGTCGTGAAACGAATTGTCGTAGACATGTATCCTAACATGTTAAATGTATGTACCAAATTTGAACAATAATTTACAAAGCATGCATAAGATACCACATTTTCAAAAAACAAAATGGCTGCCAGTCAGCCATCTTGGATTGAATGCATGTGCATAAAGTACTCGGCACATACAAAGAATGAACAGATTTGGTCAACAGGGTTCTGAAATATGACTCCGGACGAACATCGAATTATAATATTTATAATTATACTTACTAACATTCAAGCGGGGACTAATTAGAAAGCACTGGTAGGTATGAGATAAAACATTGCTTTAATTAACAAAATGCAAATAACAATAATCAGAACAGAAGCAACAGGCTTGAGGGCAGCACATGTATTGTGATTACGATGCTGCCTCCCAAGACTGATAAACCTAAAGTTAACATCTCAGATTGCATCATGATGATTAAACAGTTTCAGAGAAGAAGTTCATGTTCCTAACAACATGTAATTGAAACTTACCATACCCGGACAACTCCATTAGAAGAATACATATGTTTTCAACAACTTCTGGATTATCATGGTGCTGTTTGTATGCCTTCTTGACTGCCTGTAGTCCTTGCGCTTGTACAAATGCATGCCCACATAGTTCATCCGTCTCTACAATGCTGGCCAATGCCATGCATGCATTCTTTACAACTTTGGGTTCCTGTAAAGAGAAACCATCTTGAATCAATTCATTTTTTTGATTACCATATTAAACATAATTTTTTAAATTGCAGAGACTTCTGTTAAGGGTCTATGTCAGATAACAACTTAATTCCTCGAGTTGAGGGTTTTTGACCCTGAAAAGTTTCTAATACTAATTTTTTTTTTAATGAGTCCTTGTTTATAAGCTGTGAAATTATTAAGTAGATCATATTCTAAAATATTGCTTGTTTTAATTAATTGTCACACACATACTGATTAAAAGATAAACCGATCATGGAATCCATTTATCATGATAATAAAAACGGTTTTCTACCATTCCTAAAAATGGGGTAAAATTTAAGGCAATGATCAATATTATATACTTATGTTTTTAGCCTAAATGGATCTTTTGACACAGTCCCTAACTTTCTTTAGTTATCTGAATGTAGTTTACATTTAGATTTAATTACAACAAAAAATATAACTTTCACCACCAATCACTAAGACCTAATTTCAAACCATGGATTATTCAAAAATGTCATTATACCCACAGAAATATAAATAAAATATCAAGAAAAAGTACCGGTATTGCTGTCTTTGTGAGAGACTTTTCAATGGTGTTAAGAAGTCTAAAGAGTTGCCTCAAGTCTAAAATACCTACCGTAACATGGTTTTCTATCGCTTTAACCATCAATGGTATAGCCTTATTTTGCTGCATCATCAAAATATTCTTATCTGAAGTAAAATAAATAAAATAATCAGTTACACAATTTATATTCCAGCAAAGCTTCAACAGGTGATTTTCTGGTCACTGAGATCTCACAGAATGCGTGGATTGTGTGAATGCCAAGCTTTCAGCTAGAACCATGGCGTTTATATGGTAGTACCGTACTTCCCCAAGTATAAGTCCAGGGGCCTGAACATGTAAAATCGGGAAAATTAGGGGGTGGGCTTATACTCGAGGACCACCTCAGAAAAGATAATTTTTTGGGGGGTTTAAAATTGTAACCATCTTCCCAAGAAAAATTATCCAAATTACATTTTTTTTTCATAGCGCCGGCCTCGGAGAAATATTACATCTTTTTTATTTCCATGACACTTTTTACAATGAAGAAACAAATATGTTCATAAAAATACACACATTTTATTATAATATGATTTACATACAGTCTGAATTTACGGTGCAAAAATGGGTAGGGTCTGTGGGAAAACTGTCGAAGGCAAGATCTTTATCATTATATTCGTTGTGGAATGTTTACGATCGTACGCAAACTCTCAATACAAAGCAATTTTCACTATGATGTTTTTCATCTTCCTTTGATCTAACAGGTCACGTCTTTCGTTAACCAATCAAATGCTGTGTCATACAGACGAATTTTTCCGATTATTGACGAGGTAATTTTTTTCAACGCAATGCGGAAGTGAATTACTGCGATGTTAAAATCTGATTTCAACAAAAAACAGTGATTTTTTTCCCTGAAGCTGTTGATTCGAAATTTTAGAAAGATAAACTGAGGGTGGAGGAAGTAATTAAACTTTTTACGGTCGCCAACAAGTCACGTCGAAGAATAGTTTGCTCGTTCACATCCCATTCACGAAGGTCTCAATGGACACAATTATTCGGAAAAGTAAAACGATGTTCAATGACCAGGTTTCACGACTTGACGTTCACATTTTTGGCGTTTCTAAAACTACTCAAAATAAATATGGATTACTTCAGTATTGTAACATCGGGATTTATCGTGAGTAAATAACAGAATAGAAACAGTGCGAACCATGTTCCGTACGTTCACCAGCCATGCAATTAATGCGAGTTTTCTCGTAAAAGCAGGAACCAAACTATCATACCAATCACGATTACTGTGCAATGAAATACACTTTTTACATGCATATTTTAATAAATGTCATCGACACCCAGTAAAAACACCCTGGGCCTATACTTGGGGATGTCCTCAACATGTTAAATGTCTAAAAACAGAGGGGTGGGCTTATACTCGGGGAGGGGCTTATACTCGGGGAAGTACGGTAAATACCAGTAGTACATTATTAGGCATGGAAATACCCAACAAATATTTTAGTGTTTGTAAAATCCCAAAGCATGTTTTGACGCCAACAAAACATTATGACCTTTGTTTGTCATGTTTTTACATTTAATTTCACGCATAACACAGGATTTTGCTGAAACAGGAAATACAGCAATCAAATTAAGTCCTGGTTTGTATGCGTTTAATTAACCTGTCTGAGGTTAGTCCTTCACATACATGGAAATGTTTCGAGTTTGACAAAAAAAAATTTACAAATGTACTTCAATTTAATTCCAAACCGTTTGACATATATGGGAACCCCTAATATTTGGCAAAATAAGTCTTTGAGAAGTTTTTCTTCACTTCAGAATTGTATACCACCTGCTGTGCAAGGTAAACAACTAACTCACCTTCCAAGGAGAGTGACCAGAGTGCGGCACATGCTGCTTCCATTACATCCGAGATCTCTGTATGTTTACTAAGAGCACTACAGATATCAATGGCTCCTTGTTCTTCAGTTACAAGTAAAGTATTGTTTTCTACAGTAAAACAAAGAAATAAATAATTCATGAAGTGATGACATGGTAATTGTAGAAAATGAGAAAGCTTTCCCTTGATGACATGAATGGGGCTGTTATGATATTAGATCATTTCATACTTTTTATAACCTTACATTTGAAGTTGTGTGTATAATATGAGGTTTGAACATGGATACCACAACGCCAGCCTGACAAGGTCGTGTGAGTTGCGCCCTCTGCTGTATTCAAAACCCAACACACGCCTGACAGAAAGATGTAGTTTTACACTTTCCCCGACGATTTTTTGTCATTACCAATCAAATTGCAGGAACGTCAGATAGTGACAGCCATCAAAGAGTAACCATTCACTGCAGAGTTTGTTGACATACATGTAATGTGTGATAAGGTGTTGGCAAATTTACGGCCAATGTTTATCATCTTGTTGAAAACAGTCTGTGATTTTTGCCAACAATGCAAATACGGCTTTGATGGACAGTGTTACCATGACCACAAAAATGAATATTTATTGAAACTCATTGCAAGAAGGTGTGAACTTTGCAAATTCGCAGTATTTATCTTGTCGACAAGACATACACTATTCTGTCAGACCACGGAGGTATAAACAGTTTATACCTTCATGGTCAGACGTTAGTAGGGTCTGACGGTGAGGGCGCCACTCATGGCTACTACAACATATGCATGAACCAGTACGGTGAGAGTATCAACCAACACATGACAGAGGTCAACACTTAGCTATCTTTAGAGGATACTTACGTAGCTGTATACTAATAATAACCTTATTATTGTGCATTTCACGGTTAATTTTGTGTGTGCATAAAATAACGCAATAACACAGACTAGAAACTGACATGAATAAAACATTGTACGCATGATACAAAAACAGGCAACATACAAAGTTGACAAGTACACAAAGGTTCATAAATAACAACTGCACTAGTAAAAGTTTCCCATTAAAGAAACTTTTGTTCTTTTTTTGATAGGAGGGGGGACCAGGCAAGTTTATTGATCGACAACTCCTTAAGTAAAATTGTTTTCAGGCAAAACCAAACTTTTGCTTCTCATCAAAGTGTACATCAGTTTGAAAAGCATTTGTTTGGGGCTCTTTCACATATGGTAGAATAGGGTATTGTTTGTTTCCTGTTTCGGAAAATGTTTTTAAACATTAATGTATATATTTATAAATATTGTTCAATAAATATTGAACTTATATTTTTGTTGTCAATCTTAATACAAAATAAAAATACAAAATAAAAATAAATAAAATCGCATCTTTTTTCAATTATTCCGTAAGACGAGGAGCAAACCTTTGTTTGTCAAGCTTCAGTATACTAACCATTGACTGCCAGGCTCCATATTGCACTACAGCAATTGGCTGCTATTTCAGCATCATTTGGGAAGGCTCTCAGAGCTGATAGGACATTATGTACACCACCTTTCTGGCCAATGATCTCAGCTGCTGCCTCTAAATTCAAAGAAAACATATAAACAAAAGTTTTAAACAGGTAAAATTTTACAATGGCAATTCCTTGAGTTCCAAATGGTAGTTACTGGTGGATTTAATAAGTGCTCTATGAGTTAAATGCTCAAAGGCATACTTCAATCATACTTCAATTTTTTGTCTTCAGAGAACCATCAGCTATCAATGGAAGCTTTCTGCAAGTAATGTGTTATTGGTATAAATATCATAAGGTTATTACGAGAATACCTCAAAGTACCGGTATACACGAAAACAGTACAGCTGGAGTATCGACCGCTGCACAGGGAAAGTCGATGCGCGGTGTACTGTCTGAGTGCATACTTTGAGGTATTCTGGCAATAA